GGAAATAGACTAGGCTAAAAGAATAGAAGGTGGAAACATAACAGTTTGAATCATGATATTCAATGAATATCAATGGCTCAACGTCTAGTTAGGAGGAGATATCAAGTGGCGGTTCTCCATGGGGCGGTACTGGTTCCGGTATTGTTTCATGTATCTTCATTAATGATTTGAATGAAGGGTTTGAGTGCATAGATGGCAAAATTGCAGATGACATCAAATTGAGTTGAGTTGCAGACACTCCAAAGGATTCTGGTAGGATCCAGAATGACTTGGAGACTGGAGAGATGATTCACAGTCAATCAGATGAGAATCAGCAAGGGCAGTTGTGAAGTCCTGAACTTGGGATGGAATAATTGCATGCACAAATATAGGCTAGGGACTGAGTGTCTAGGTTGCAGTACTTCAGAGAAGGACCTCGGGGTAAGGGGAGACCACACAATGAATATGAGCCAAGTGTGTTTGTGTTGCTAAAAAAATGCCAACAGCATCCTGGGTTGTATTAACAGAAGTGTCATTTGCAAATGAACAGAAGTGCATCCTCTACTCTGTTCAGTCCTGGTAAAACCTCACCTGGAGTACTGGATGCATCTACACATCCACTTTAATGTGCAGTACTGTGCCTTAAAGTTTCATATAAAAATGAAACTGGAGGGGAGGGCTCTATATTTGGAGAACAGGACCCTTTAAGATTGCGGCAAGCACCAATAACTATACAACGGAAAGAGAACTTTTGAGCTTCTCATAAGAAATAGTTAAAGCTCCTGAAAAAGTGAAAAGGCTTATAGAGAACCTCTAAGACTGGGGTAGGGAGGAGGGGTGAGCAAACAACATAGAGAGTAAGGCTGTCATGACTGTGTGTACTAGAGGGCTAGTAATTTAGTGGTTACTTTATAAGAGCCCCTAAATATACTTTTGGATCTTGTGGACAGTCTATATTTTTCCCCTATGAGAGATGAAATGGTAGCTTCCAATAGTGCTAGAAGTTGTAGACTGGTTTCAAGTTTCACTGTTTCTCAACATGAATCTAAAGATAGTGACAAGAAATGAATTCTTGTCACCAGACAACAAGCAAGCCAGGTCTGGTCACTCTTACGGAAACGCACTTAAAATAACTTTGACACATTTTACCATGAATAGAACAAAGCAGCATTACTCATTGGCATGGTACTTGGATCCTGGAGGAATCACCTTTCACATGTTGTGGAGTCTAGTTTAAAATATATAGTTACCTTTTTATAAACTGCGTAATTATTATTCTATCTATAAATAAGTTCTATCCATACATTGCTATAATTGCAATAGCTCATAAGCAGGCCTAAAAGAAATCTGCAATGAACTTATAGTAAGAATATATATGTCTTAATTAAAAGGCTAATCGGCACACAAAGGAGAACTAAACTGTCTCGCTGGGTGCGTCTACACGACACGTTTAATGTTCATTGGACAAATTCTATTGCGCATTATTGTGGCTGGCAAAAACCATGCTAATGCACTGTAGATATAGTCCAATGTGTTTTGTCACACAAAAAGTGTTCATCTGTGCTAATGTGCAGTAGTACTGATTACAGTGCATTTAATGCCTATTACAGGTACTAAACTTAATGTGCTGTAATTACAGCACATTAATGAATGTGTAGATGCACCCTCTAACTGTTGCTATTACATGTATTTAGAGGTTACATGGAACGCTGCCCACAGGATAAGTGTAATTCGCAGGGTAAGTCCAATAGTTATTAACCATGGCACTGTTAACAGGCTTGGTAGATAGGCAGGTGTAATTAAGCGTAACAACCTACAAGATGAGGGAAGTTCATACTTGTCCTGATGCTATTGTTTCACTGTCACTTTTCTGTTGAAACTCCTGGAAAGAGAATATATATAAAGGCAAGTTTTACAACCAGAAGTGGCAGAAACAATTTAATGTTTGGATTCCATAGAAAAATACAAAAAGGCCTGAATGTGATGGAAGACCAATCTGGGCTTTTTCTTTAAAAATTAAAACTGGTTCAAATCCAATTTCATACAAAGTAGAGATTCTTGTGACTGGGTTGAATAATTGCTTGAATATGCTTTTAATTCTACTGCTTAAAAAAAATCCAGAACCATGATGAAATCACCAAAAAGTGGGATGATGTTAAGAAAGCTGAAACTACATTTCCTTGTTTAATATTTGTAATATGATATGGAAACATTTTTTGTTCAAGCATTTTACAGATTCTTTCTTAACTAGGCAATGCCAACCCCCTCATATTCTGACTGGATTGACTGCTGCCAATAAAGGATTCTTCTGTAAATGCAGTAAGAAAGAAAATGTAATTTTCCTTTCTGCATGTACAGAACAGTAAGTACACTGGAGCTGAGGTTTTGCCTTCAACTGGAGGGCTGCAGCTATATGCAAGAGCCAAGTGACCCAATTCCCATTTCTCATTCCTGTCCCAAAAAGTTTGTTATAGGGGTGACCAACACCCCCTAACAACCCAGACTGTAGTTTGCGCCCCCCTCCCAGAGGGCACTTAAGAATGTGTTTAGGCTTTTTTCCCCGTGAGTATTTATAGAAAGGAATGTTAAAAACAAATCTACTAATTATTTTGCTATGTTCTTATGGTCTCTCTTGAGCCCAAGAGACTCCTTAATTTGAGGGCAGTATTTAGTAACAATGAGAAGTTATATTTGCTTCAAATGCAATTTAGACTTGTAGATTCTTATAGCATTATATCCATCCTTATAGTGCTATAAAAAGCGAGTGTCCACATATTAAGACTGTCTGTAGTGCTATAAAGATGGTGAGTCTACCACAGGAGCAGGCAATGTTTTTTGGCTGGAGTGCCAAAAAGCACCACAATGCCTACCTTGGAAGGTGCCGGAGTGCTGGCATGGCAGAAAAACAAAATGAGGGCAAGGGGTACATGGCAGGATGCCCTGCTTGTGCCCCTTGCCCCCACCCAAAGCCCCTGCCCCCCAGCCCGGGCTCTGTGGCTGTCAGCAGCTACCCCGGCTCTGGGTAGCTGCTGGAGCCCGGGCTGCTCCCAGCAGGGCTTGCAGCATCCCAGCTGCCTGCTAGGAGTGGCCCACGCTCCCGGTTTGCAGCAGCTCCCAAAGCCAGGGCCAGCTGCAGCTGGGAGGCTCCAAACAGCTGTGCCGGGCTCCAGCATCAGCTCTGCACTGGTGCGTGCAGGCACACCTCGGAGTGGGCGAGGGACCTGAGGCAGTGCAGCCCCGGTCTCTCCCCTGCTCCCAGCACAGAGGTGATGGCAGGCTTCCGGAGTCCGGCACAGCTGTTTGTAGCCAGCCCGGGCTCTGGGCAGCTGCAGCAAGCAAGCAGGAAGCAGTCTGCAAACGGCTGTGCTGGGCTCCACAGCTCTGGCATCAGCTCTGTGCTGGCAGCGACTGCACAGGCACCTCAAGGCTGTGCTGGGAGCAGGAGAGAGACAGGGAGGGACCTGTGGCAGCGCAGTCCCACACTGCCTGCTCCGACGCACTGGTGCAGAGCTGATGCTGGAGCCCGGAGCTCGGCATAGCTGTTTGGAGCCTCCCGGCTGCAGCTGGCTCTGAGTAGCTGCTGCCAGCCGGGAGCCCAGGCTGCTCCCAGCAGGCACCTGGGATGCTGCAAGCCCTGCTGGCAGCAGCCCGGGCTCCGTCTCTGGCAGCAGCCACCCAGAACTGGGGCTAGCCGTGGCGTGCCAAGCAAAATGGCCTTGCATGCTGGGGGTCGCTGACCCCTGGTCTACCACAACAAGTTTCTTTTTCTAACCAGAACATCTTTATAGTGCTCCTCTTCATAGCACATCATGTAACGCATAGACAGTTACACGTTGTGTTACAGGGTGGTCTCTCAGACTTCAGCATTCCAGAGTGCTCCTCTCTCCAAAAGGGGGAACAAGAGCGCAGCATCTCTTCCTCTCCTACTGTAAGGGGAAGTGGGAAGCAAAAGAACAGCTTCCCGTTGCCCCCTGTATGTATGGATATGTCATGCTACATTTTTATATCACTACAAAGTTCCCCATACACTATAGTGCCAAAAAGGTAACAAGCACCCATGGTCATAAAGAGATGCCACGTGGTTTTAAAGCAACTCGGATTTCAATGAGGACTTTTGTCATATGAGGTTCAATAATGAATTGTCATGTTTTAGAATAGTATGTGCAGTTTTGCGCACACACCTCTACAGCCTCTGCTGAAATTTCTCCCATTCAAGTGAAGAAGTTTTTGAGGTTCTTCTGAATTCTTTTACAATTAGGTAATAGCAAACATAATTTAGGGACGTTTCAAGTCAAATGAACTTTGACCTGCTAAAATCCCCTTAGTCCACATTTTCTAAGGTGGTGCTGTAATGCAACGTATCCTTGTCTCTATACTTAGTGCTGAGCAGTGCACAGCCTGGTTTCAGATACAACTGCTGTCAATGGAAAGTGTATGGAGGTAGTTTTGTACAGAACAAATACACTTCACAAATATGAGGAATAGGACAAAGTGGAAAGGAATGAAGACAATCGTTTCATAGTTCAAACAGTACAGAAACGTATGAATAGCTCTATTTTCTCTCACCCAAAGCAGTAACTGCTTAGTGGCTGTATTAGAAACATGAACAGCTGCTTTAACCCTCCTTAGGAAGGATACTGGAAGATCTTTCAATGACTCGATCAATGGGAATTCTGCCAACAATGTTTCAATGGCATTTTTACCCATACTGGAAGCAGAGAGAGCTCCCAAAGCTGTTGGTATTTTCAGAACTTCTGCTGCAGCAACAAGGCTCTTTGATGGCTCCAGTGGACTCCATTCCTTGTCAGGCATTACCCAGTAACTGCTCTGCCTCACAAACAAGCGCTAGAATGGAGGCTGCTACCATTAGTTACTTGGTCTCCAAGTGCAGAGACCATCATGAGGACAGAAGATCAGGGAAAATGGGGAGTGACCTGGCACTGTTTTCCCTCCCAGTAAACTGGGCCCTGTCCTGGGGAGATTTAGAGGGAGTAAGGTATAAATAAGAAGGATAAGGACACTGTGATTTAAGAGCACTTTATTGTTCTTTAAGGCTACTTTTAAAATACAAAAAAAAAGATGGCCTGCCAAACCTTTTTTTTTCCCCAGGTGAAACAAGGCCACAAAAGAACGGTATATTACAGATTAAAAGATTCTCTCCACATCTGTAAAACTGAACTGTAGAGAACGTGGCTCTGTGAAGAAACTTCACTATGCGTTATTACAGTGAGTTTAGTTGATTTTCCTTTTACCTCCCCCAACCCTTTGGCTTAGTTGTGTTTAATGAATTTGTTCTACTGGACATAGCACATTAAATCTTTATTGCCTCCCAAATCCATTTACCTATCTCAGATAAGTAAATGAGACCTTGTAAAACAGCTATTACTGAACATATTAACTTTAAAAATATTATCTTGTGTTTACAAAGAAACGTAGGAGTCACATTTTCCACAGAGTCCATCTACAGTATTAGTATTTACTGTTATAATGCTCAGTAGCCTGTAGCAATAACAAACTAGTGGCTATTAATGCTAATGCAGTGTTCTCATAGAATAACTGTGTTCCTGCACTTTTACTGTATTACAGACAAATCTACAACAAAAAAAGATCAACTTTTTTCTCCAAACAAAAAAAAAAAAAAGAATGATTACAATAAAGGAAAGGGAAAAATTAAATAGCTACATATCATTAACAAATTAATTGTTCCTCAAAAAATACCTACAAATTTCTCTGTACATTCTTTACGCACAGCGTAACGATGGTCTTAAAGTTACCTATATAAAAAAGTGTTCTTTTAATAATCCAAGTGTAGGGTACTGAATGCCAAAGCAGTTAAGCGTTGACTACCCAGTAAAATGGTAGTGAAATGTGTAAAACTGGGGGCCTTAGGGTTTTTTTTTCTTTTTTTGCTTTAAAAAAAAATTAATGGAAAAATTGAGCAGCCATCTCCTTTGCATGAGTCCAAGCCAGTCCCCTGATCTCTTCTACCCTGTGCCTTTTTCAAATTAAATAGCTTAACATAAAAAAGGGGAAAAAAAGGAAAAAAAAGCCACAATGGACCCAATACTGTAACACAGTCCATAATACATCACATGTAGTTCATTTTCCAACTAGTCATAACTTTCCATACTGAACCAGTCTTTTCAGGTAAACCCAGTATAAAAAAGATCTAGCTGTAACTGTACTGGGATGATGGAATGTATGGGGGGAGAGTAGTTATATTTAACAAAAAAAAAGAAGAGAAGCTCTTTAGTATTAAACACAGCTGTTTTTATGCCTGCCTCTATTACCTAATTTCTAGTTAGTAGCTATTAATATAGCAAATGATAATAAATGCGATAATACCTGTATAACATTTTCTAATGGAGGAATGTATGCTGCCTTGGCATAGGTTTGAGTAAGCTTAAACATTAAAGATCATATTTCACAAACTATAACAATCTGTTGTCCAGCCAAGATATTTAAAGTTAGAAGTTTCCATAGCTAGCTATCATTGGATTACACAGACTTAAGTTTGAGAAAGCAACTTCATGTTAAGCAGACAATGCTGCAACATTAATGATTACTCAGTCATGCGCAAAGCTGTAGCATCCTGTACCACACATCATATATTTCTAAACTGCTTCATTTGAGGCCGTCCTGAGGCTGTCCTCTTTTTGCTGGCTGCTACTAAAGTGAATATCAAATACAAATATCATACAGTACAACTGTACCAGCAGTAAGTATATCTAGGACTGTTACTGACAAAAATAAACTAATTCTGAAGAAAAGCTAATAAGTATTATGGTTCTTACTGTCTATACATTAATAGATACCAGCTATTTTTTTTGTAAAACATGCATCTTTAAGCACTATTGAACCCTCCAACTTCAACTCTATTCTAACAAACTGCAGTGTTTAGGAAACAGTTAAATGCCCGTGTTTTGTAAATTATGCAGTCCAGTTGCAAGCACTAAACACCTGAAGTCTAAAGAGAGAAAGACCTATAACCTGTATGAGACTTCCCCTTCTAAAGCTGTTTTGCTTTAAGAAAATAATCAAGCAGATAAAAATGTCATCCTTAAACCTTTTTTTCAGCAGTTTGCCCTCAGAATATTAATGTCTTGCATAAAGTTGCCATGCAACTTTAGTCCTCCTCCAATAGTGCAAATCATACATGACAGTTCTTTTCAAGTATATACATACAAAAGTACTTCACAGAAAGAAAGAAAAAGGCAATGAAAGCAAACCAGACAAATTCTAGTCTCAAGTAGCTAACAAAAGCAAAAACATTTGGGTCAAACAACTACGTGTAATGGCTTTTCTGTGGATTAGCGTGCATATATTTTAAAGGGGCAGCAGATTTTCATCAGAGGTTTCTTTGGTAACCGAGGCAGGGAAAAAGGATGCACTACATCAGACAAATCTTTATAAAATAGTTCCTGCTATCGCCTTTAGGGCACCCTTGACAAATACCAAGTCAGTACACAAAAATGTGTTGAAAACTAATCTCTCCTTCCCCAACACTATTCGTTAAGCACTGTTCAAAGCTCAGTCAAACCATGCAAATTCACAAACATGATGGTCTTCCCTTCATGAGACTACAGAGGGTGAGTGATTGTGATTGATCATGTGGGAAGAAGGGGAAGACTGGCCCCGCCTTGAAGCAGACTCAGGACTGCTAGACACTCCATCCTTTGCAGCTTTAATTTGAAGCCATGTATCCCCAAGTGCTTTGGCAAAGTGGTCATCAACCGATCCTGTGATGGAGACAGAGTTTGCCACTGGCTCAGGCTCTTTGTAATTCTTGCCAAGGCTTCTGCGGAAATGCTCTTCCACCACTGGATCACAGGCAGTGGTAGCTAGAGGGGGAGAACAGGTAGGAAAAATCAATTATTTCAATGCAGAATCCAGGTGCTACAGGCTTCAGGGTCCTCTTTCCTTCAGTTACCCTACAGCTGATCTAGATCTGTTTGTTTTTTTCTCCTGGGTTTTTCACATTGTTTTGTTCTAGAAAAGGGGAGGCTGTGAATACCCATAAATGAGAGATTAGTAATGTTAGTAATACCAACCACTGCAACAGAGGCAGGTCAAAGTTGAAAATAATTCTCTCTTATTATGTTCCAAAGTGTTTGCTGTTTCAAAGTTTATGCAAATGACATGCTAAGGTGTTTTACTTTTAACATCCTAAAAATCTGCCAGTTTCCCATTCCATGTCATTATAACCTGCTGAGTCCCTGCTTGCTACTGAAAGGATTCACTATGTTCTTTTCAAGCAAATGGTATGCCAAGTATAGATACACCCCAAAGAAATGAAGAGAAAACATTTTCTGGAAGTGCTTAACATTAATCTGGCAGCGATTCCAATGAAAAGACTTTTTCAGGGGATTCTGCATTTTGCTAGAAGCCAGGATTGGAAGCAAACTGTCAGTCTGACTAAACAGTGTGACATGGCCTAAGGAACCCAAATCCTGTTGCCTTTCCACGAGACTTAGGTAATTTTGAAAGTGTTGCTCGTGTGTACAGGCTGTAAGAGGGAATGAAAGATTGTGCTCTGGACGGTGGTGTGATGGGGAACAGGCTTGCACCACTGGGAAAGAAAGTATCAAGTTTTCAACAAAAAATTCTAATTGGAATTAAAGTTAAAACCTGTACTGGAGGAAAGCTCCAGCCCATCTGCAAAGTGGGAGTATAGCAATCACCCTCCACTTAATAGTTTCATAGTAGTTAGGGGTCAGAAGGGACCTAAATAGATCATCTAGTTTGACCCCCCCGCCACTGGCCGGAGCACACGCTGGGATCCCATGACCCCGGACAGGTGTTCATCCAACCTCCTTTTTAATTTACCCACGGTAGGAGCGAGGACCACTTCCCTAGGAAGTTGGTTCCAGATCCTAGCCACCCTAACAGTGAAATAGTGCCTCCTAATCTCTAACCCGAACCTATTCTCCAGCAGCTTCTGGCCATTATTCCTTGTTGCCCCAGGTGCTGCTGGGGGGAATAGGACCCTTCCTATTTGCTGCTGATCTCCCCCTAACAAGTTTGTAGGCAGCCACCAAATCTCCCCTCAGCCTCCGTTTGCTGAGGCTGAACAGGTTCAGTTCCCACAACCTCTCCTCGTAGGGCCTGCCCTGTTGCCCTCCAACCAAGCGGGTGGTCCTCCTCTGAACCTTCTCAAGGCAGGCCACATCCTTCTTAAAGTGCGGTGCCCAGAACTGGACGCAGTACTCCAGTTGAGGCCGGACCAATGTCTCGTACAGGAGTATCACCTCTCTGGACCGGCTTGAGATGCATCTTTGGATGCACAACAAGGTGCGGTTGGCTTTGCTGGCTGCGGTCTGGCATTGGCGGTTCATGTTCATCTTGGAGTCAATAATGACTCCAAGATCCCTTTCTGCCTCTGTGCTCTCAAGGGGGGAGCTCCCCAACTTGTATGTATGCTGTGGATTCCTTCTCCCCAGGTGCAGCACCCTGCACTTACCACATTGAAGCCCATCCTATTACCATCCGCCCACTTCTGTAATCTGTCTAAATCTAATTGCAGCCTCTCTCTCTCCCTTCGAGCGTGCCTACCTCTCCCCACATCTTGGTGTCATTGGCAAACTTGGACAACGTGTTTTCCACCCCCTCGCCCAAGTCGCTGATGAAGATGTTGAACAGTGTAGGCCCCCAGGACTGAGCCCACTATTCACATCCCGCCAGGTCGAGTACGACCCGTCCACCACCCCTCTCTGGGTGCGCCGCATTAGCCAATTTCTGGCCCATCCAACTGTGTAGGCATCAATGCTGCAGTCGCTCAATTTATTAATGAGAATGGGGTGAGAGACTTAGTTTGACAGAGCAGCCAGTATGAGAACTTGGAAGGGAACCTGCTTTCTTGTGGATTCCAAGGCCTCCGAACAAGGCAGAAGCCTAAATCTTCTAAGGTGCATTAAGTAAAGGACCATACCCAAGATAAGAAAAACAGCACAGCTCAGAGTGGGCTGAGGGCAAAGATGACTCTGCAATGAAGGCGCGTGGCTTTATAAACAGAACCCTATCCTGGAAATCATTCAGCATATGAGAGGAAGTGGTAGAAGGAGTTTGGGATTTTATGGTGCTGGGTTTGCTATTGTTTAAATTGAAAACACACATCACTACCTACTTTGTTCTCTTCTCTGGTGTTTTAATTTTTTTTAAATTATCAAAAAGTGCTTCCACTCCATTGCTGCTTTTTGATAAATACGTAAAAATAGAACCTTCCTAGTTAAGCAATGACAAGAGACACAAATAAGCACGATAATGGAACTCTGTGCTTGCACAAGGGCCTGTCGATGTAGATTTAATTACAAAACGTGATTGGTTTTTGCTGTTTTTCATGCATTAGATCTGCAGATCAAACACAGCTAAAGAATGAGCTGAATTTTGTTCCATCCTTAAGATATACACAACTTTCCTCCAAGTTCCAATCAGAAGGCAGGGAAAAGTGGCACCACAGGCCACATCCAGATGTGCAGGGGTGTGCACCTACAGAGGCACAAGTAGTAGAGGTACAACTTTGTGCCACTACTTTGTGTCTCAGCACATACCCCTGCATGTGCACTTTCTTGCGGGACACTGTCTTGCTTTGGGTAAACTGCCCTTGTCAAGCTCCTCCCAGCTCCAAGTGTGCCAGGGCACAAATGGAGGAGAGGAGATGCTCTGGCTGGCACCCAGAGTGTCTCCTCGGAGGACCAAGCCTCTGCTTGTTCCACTGCATGGTATTGTAGCATGCACTACGCCACTTTTTTTTTCTGGGCATTTTTTGTCTTTGTTTTTTTGCTACTAGGAAACCCTGGTAGCATTTGTTTTGATTTGGGAGAGGCATGTTTTTGTAGGCATCTGATTTTTTCTGAACAAGTTAGTCTGTAAGGTGCTACCCTAACCTACCTTCTTGCCTGATTTCATACTAACTCAAATAACTACTTCTGAAATTCTAGTCAGATATGTTTTTGCACCACTGTAAAGACTCTTAGGTTTGCCTGGAAGCCCAGGATAAGTCTGCTCTGCTGACCGTTAGAAGAAAAGTTATTTTCATTTTGATAAAGTAATCAAAAGCAAACAGAGCCCAATAATTTTGTGGGGAAAATGATCACAATAAAAGTTTTACTTTTATTATATTTAAGGTGGAAATGCCAATTCATTACATAAGCTCTGAGACAATAGCAAGACAGGGCAAACTATACCATTTTTTCCAACAAAAATGACAGTTTTTAACTGTCTTTGGGGAATCTGGCTATAAATCCATGCAAGCCCAAAGCCTTGAAAAGGAAACAGTGTAGAAGCATAACTTACTGCTAGATGGTCTTCTATAACTTGTTGGCACCGCTGAACCACAGCCACTGTGGGCAATGGGGCAGTGTGAGAGATTACAGTTACGGTTGTTTGCAGAGGCACATGTGATTACAGATGGACGGTTCTGTGAGGAAAAAGAACACAACTGTCTTTCAACAGGGTCACTGAAACAAACACCAGCAGTTGTTTATCACACAATCACTTGAACAGCATATGTGAACTGAAATAAATTTAACCAGGTTCTCTATCAGCTGCAAGCAAATACACTGCATTACATACAAGATAAAAAAGCAATTCTCAGTGCCAGTAATCCCCAGTCTAATTCAGTGCAGTATATTAAACTGCAAGCAGCCAAATCCCACTCTGTACTTTGCACTGACAGCTTAAAATAAAAATGCAGGTACAGTTTTTTGTTATAGAACTTGAAAACTGTTTATGAAACTGGGTCCCCTGCACCTCTGCTAAAAATAAAATTACTATATAAAAATGACTGCTCTATGGAATGACCTGGCAACCTTTACAGCAGGTTTACTCATTTTAACCACCTTACAGCATGGTTATACCAGCTCTCACCCATTTTAAGACTCAAAGTATTCTCTTTCCAGACTGCTCCTTGATATGCATAATAAACATAGAAAGTCTTGGTTTTATAAGCACTATTTTCATTTTAGTGCATTATGGATTTTCAGTTCTGTGCACACAAACCCCAAATGAATACAGCATGCTTTGAGTAGTTATGAACTTAAAGTGTGCCCATAAAATTGCTTACCCAGCCTGATGAATTGTCAACTCTGTGTTGTGGCCACCAAACCACACTCTCCATATTGATATGAAATATGAAAGGTAACAAAAAACCAAACCAAACCCTGAGCAATATTGGAGCCATTATTTCCAATTCCTACAAATACAAGTGATCTTTTCCAAAATACTCTGTCACTAGGTACCTTCATTAAACTTTCCATAATAGATTTTAAACAGGTACATTCTAAGGTAGTATAACTTTTTCCACTTGATAATCAGATGACAAATAGGAACTTGTATAAAGTACTGATCCTGGTTTCTGCCTTAATGAAACCCATATACTTATACAAAAGTATTTAAAAACTTTTCATATATTTTTTACAATGAGAAAATCTCATCTTGTCATAGATAAATAAAATGAACACTGAGAATCTGCAACTTTAACACAAGTGCCCAGAGTTAGCCAAACATCTGTGAAGTTTTCACAGTGAACTGCAAAGAGTACATCATCTATCCTCAACACAAAGTCAATGGAACTGAAAAATACAAAGGGGAAGGGAAGGGAAGGGAAGGGAAGGGCTTGAATTGTTCAGCATTAGCTCTGCCTAAGCAAACTGAACAGAGATTTTGTTTCTTTGCAAGATCAAAGCTGTTAAGTCAAGTGTCAGCTACATAAAGTAAAATAAGTAGGATAGGATTTTTTGCATTATTTTTTCTAGATACAATAGGCAACAATACCATTTGAATTTTACTACTGTGGTAGCAAAGTCAAATGTACTTAAAGTAAACAAAATGGAAAAATGTTCCAGTTACTTGATTACTTTGCATCAAGGCACAAGGGTAAGAAATTTAATTTTACAGACATTTTACACGGCTGCATAGATGAATACAGGCATTCCTCGACTTACAACGTTTTGAGTTGCAATGTTTTGCACTTACAAGTTTTATAAATTGACACCCTGTTTCAACTTTATGATGTCAGTTTCAACTTTACAACACTTGTTCCAATGCAATGTCACGCCAGCAAGGAAATTTGCTGCATCGCTCATCTCCCTGGAGAACATCTGTCCAAACTTCCTTGGACACTTTCTTTAAGAAAGCAGACAGGACTCCAGAAAAAAACTGCAGCCAAGACTCCCAAGAAGACTCCAGCCAAGAACCCTTCAAAAAGTCCAACCAAGAGCCCTTCAAAAAGTCCAGCAAAGTCACCTCAAAGAAGTTCTTCCATATCAATATGACTGCTAATTACAATATAAATACATTAATGTAGCTATATTACTCATCCGTAATTTATCGAGTACAAAATTCTGGGGTATTTTTGGTGAAAATAGGGTATCATGCCTTAGTTCAGGAACCAACCCCCCCATTTATAACACTGTTTCTTATGAGAAAATTGGTTCTGAGTTGCAACGTTTTGACTTAACACGCGGTTTTCAGGAACCAATTGTGTCATAAGTCCGAGGACTGCCTGTACACTATTGGCTTTACCTGGCCCCAGGTGTGTTTCTCCAAAAATATTTATTTTATACATATACACACACTTATCTATGGCTACTCAGGCATACAATAGAAGGATGAATTTCCTTTTTGCATCATTTTTTGGACTTCACAAGAATGTCTGTTAACATTAGTAGGATTGGAATGTTTTTGTCACAGTGGTCCAGGAAATGTGTAAGCAGCAAGGGGTTTTTTGGTGATATCCTCTACTGAACCAAATGTATAGTTGGGAATGATAGTATACAAGCTTTGGGACAAAAAGTGCCCTCCTCAGGTCTGCATTAACACTGTCTAGGCTTCTTCCACATTGTGCAAATACAGGAGAGGCTACAAATAATTTAGTAACAGTGACTATAATTGCTGATCACCAGTGCACTAGTCCAAACCCAGTGTTTTTTCCTACAACTCCTCTTTGGAAACAGCAGCAGATACACTTTATGTAGAATATTAAGACAGGTTTCAACCTAAGGTACAATCACTTTAGAGCTTCCAGTTTTCCATATACATTATTAGTCCTACTTGATTTCTGTACTATTATCTTAGCAAGGTCTCACTTCACCATCTTATTTCCTCAAGAAACTAAACTGCAACCCAGCTCAATACACCAAAAAAAAAAAGAAGAAAAAGCTGGCTAAGGTCAGAGTCCAGTACAACCACTTTCCAAAACAAACCCAGCAGTGCGGCAGGCTGAGAAACAGCAGCAGTACTATTAAAGAGTACGTATGTTGTCAAATGGAAGGCTGTCACTTCCTCTCATCACTGAAAAAACTGTTGAGAGGCAGAAAAGAACTGTTGTGTATGGAACAATAGCAAGATAGCAGCAATCTGAGGGTAAATTGGTCATTTCTACTCAGATAAAAGCGAAAAAAGAATAGCCTTGGTTGGACATATACACAAGAGCTGTAGGCAAAGGACTGTACTGCTGAACCTTAAAAGAGGTTGAGGGAAAAAACAATATTCTAGCCATTGGCATACTTTGCTGATCTATCTGAAAGCTTATTTGCAAGCTATATTGGGAAAACCCTTGGAAATTATGACAAATGGAAATTTTCCCCTATCTGAAAGATGCCTCCACCTCTTTGCAGTCAACCATGGTAAGGAAGGAAGAGGTGTCTGCGTGTGTATCTCAGCTGAACTTCCCACACGGAAGCTTGCTGCAGCCTCTAGTATGTTGCTGCCCAAACAAAAAACCCTGACTTTTCATCCTCTTCAGTTCTGAAAAGGAACATAATGTTTGATATCTATAGGATCCTGGAGGATTATTTAGCATGCAATACAAACCACCTTTCTGCAGAACTGTAGGGATTGTTTAAATGAAGTGGACACTGCACACCACATGGGGGAAAAAGTCCCACTACAACACCATACCAGCAGGGCTATACCACTGCTTAAGATCTTGCCTTATGCCATCTCCTTCATTTGGGTTGGAAAGTGAAACTATTATAGAGAAAGAAGACCCCTTCAGTACTGTTTGGTACTGTTTTATAAAAGAAACAATGATAGAACATACTCCCTGTTCAGTAGCAGGGTGAGAGATTTTCAAAGATAAAAAAGTATGGCTAACTGTCCTTGTACCTGTGAGATGTCACCAGTTGCAATCTATTGGGGCCCTGCTAAACCGCATCTGGGGCAAAGTGAACCAGGTGTTTCAGCAACCTTGCATTTCTAACTTAAACATGCACATTAACTAGCTGATCAAAACATAAAATAGGTGAGTTATTGAGGAATGAGTTTAGGAGGACTTATACTTCAAAACAGCTGGCCAATTTTCCGCATGAAACGCACTGAAACACGATAGCTCCGTATCTTTAAAAAATTGTGAAACTAAATAAATAATAGGTTTTGCCTGAATAATGTTTTCGCCTACCTATTGTCATTCACCACATATTCTGTTTATGTCTGGGAAGTCATCAGTGTGAGTGTACAGCAAGGCTTCCTACAAGCACTAGAGTCTCTTGTCAATCTAGAAGCCAAGTACCTGCTGCCGTTCCAGAGAAGTCAGCGTGGGCGTGATGCCGACTGTTCGGGTTGCATCCATGCTATTTTTGGTCAGTGCTAGAGGTTGATCCATGGTCAGGCTTGGGATTGAGGCATACATGTGATTGGCATGAAGGCTCATTGTTGGCGCAGCAGCCCGTTCTATTGGGCTGCGACTCCTTTCTCTGTGCTCCTTCCGATAATCCCCATTAGCAGTCTTGTTTCTATTAAGTGAAAAAGAAAAAAAGCCAGACAGTTATTTTACCACCAGGTGACAAAACTCTGAAGAAGGACCTGGCTGTCCTATAATAACGGAAATAGGATTTACAAGGTAGAGGCCTTCTGAAAAACACTACGGGATATGGCATGCTCCTTCGTTCTGAAAGAAAAGGTATGGAAAGTTCAACAATGTATTATTCCCTGTCTGTCCAACCATTTCCCTCCAAACACATGCTTTTATACGCAAGTGATTTATGCTTCCAACCAGTCAGCTAACATCCTGTCTCATTTTTCACTAGACTTTTTTTTAGATATTCATCTAAAGGCATTAAGTGTTGAATCATCCTGTCCTGACCATGCTTTGTTAAGGGCAGAAATGTCCCAATTTAGAATACCGAAAAGCTTATTCTGCCCTAGTAATAGTAGTGCTTTTTTCTAAACTGTGCTAGTCTTAGAAGAATGTGTTCAGACTAAAAGACACCAGGTGACACTAGTAAAAAAAATAGTAATCTACCAAAGGAAAAAAGCTTACATGAAACAAATGAAACAATAGAATACACTGTGGGGGGTTTTTGGTCTCAAATACACGCACTTTCTTTCACCCCCAGATGAATTTCCCTTAAAAGATGAATTTCAGTCTACTGATGAACAGTAAACCTGAATAGATACACTCACCATTTCTTTTGCTGTTAAAATGATATTGCTTTTTTTTTTCCCTTTTAAACTATATTTAAGAGAGCTATATCAGATTTTTTCACAGGCCAAGTAAACAGTCAAAACCTTCAAGAGATGGGACAAATAATTGTACTCCTCTTAAACTGCTGAATGCAATAGGTTATAACCACAGATATGTCCAAACATTTATTTGATTGGCAATCTTGAAAATCCCAGTATTGTTTAAGTAGTATCAAGCCCCAGCATGATAATGCGGTAGTGGTGTGTCATGCTTAGTTCATCTTGTGTGTCAGGAATGAAAGAGATGCATGGCTTTGTGAAAAAGCAGCAAAAGGCAGTATGAGTAAGAGCAGAACATAGAGAATAAGGCTGCCAAATACTCAGTTTGGACAGCCATTAAGGAAATCCATTTAAGTAGTTCTCCCATCCTTAGCTCACTCCATCATGATACAGGACTGACTTTACAATAATGCTGGTGTGAAGAGAGAACAACTTCTATAATGCTAAAATTGTTAAAAAAAAAAAAAAAAAAAAAAAAGATGTATACAATATTATTCAGCATTTAAATTGCCACTCAGTTAAGATGTCACTGCACATTTGAGACAGGCAGCATGTCACCCTAATAAATAAATACAGGTCTGGTACAGCTCACATGGAAAGGAAAACAACAACTGGAAAATACAAAGTTATTATATTGTATTGCAAAGCATCCAGGGGGTGGGAGATGCTACACAATTATATAGATCAAGTGAGGGAACACCTTGAGAGGCTAGACATCCATAAGTCCACAGGCCTGGACAGAATGCACTGGAAAGTCCTGAAGGAGCTGGCAGACATCATAGCATGGCCTATGACTAAGATATATGAGGACTCGTGGTGCTTGGGAGAGGTACCAGAGGACTGGAAAAGAGCCAACGTGGTCCCAATCTTTAAGAAAGGAAGGAAGGAAGATCCAGGAAATTACAGGCCAGTTACAGGCCAATCAGTCTGACATCCATCCCCCTGGAAAGATCCTGCAGAAAATTATCAAAAGTTCCATCAGCAACAGGCTAACGGAAGGCAAGGTGGGCGGACCAAAACCTAAAAGTGCAGGGTGCTCTACCTTGGGAGGAAAAACCAGCATCATACTTACCAGCTCAGCAGTGCTGAGCACCACAACCGAAAGAGACTTGGGGGTCTTGTTTGACCACAAAATGAATATGAGCCACCAATGCGATGCTGTGGCTGGCAAAGCAACCCAAACTCTGGCATGCATCCACCAATGCATTTCAAGCAAAACCAGGGATGTCATCCTCCCACTCTACTTGGCCTTAGTGAGGCCACAGTTGGAGTACTGCATCCAGTTTTGGGCCCCGCACTTCAGGAGGGACGTGGATAAGCTTGAGAGTCTAAAGGACAGCCACTCACATGAACAAGGGCCAAGAGTAAGCCTCATGAGGAGAGGCTGAGGGACATGGGACTCTTCAGCCTAGAGAAGGCTCAGGGGGGACTTGGTGGCAACCTATAAGTATCTAAGGGGGGGGTGCACCAGGATCTGGGAGAACAGTTGTTCAACAGGGCTCCCCAAGGGATAACAAGGTCTAATGGCCACAAACTTCTGGAAGGCCGATTTAGACTAGACATAAGGAAAAACTTCTTTACAGTCCAAGTGTCCAGGGTCTGGAACAGATTCTGCCCCCAAAGATGGTGCAAGCTCCTACTCTGGACTCTTTCAAAAGGTGTTTGGATGCTTATCTTGCTGGGATCATTTGACCCCAGCAGACTTCCTGCCTATGGCAGGGGGGCTGGACTCGATTTTGTGAGGTCCCTTCCAGTCTCTAATGTCTATGAAATCTATGAAACTGAATGCTTCATGTGGAGAAAGGAAAAGCATTGCAGCAAAAATCCAGTGAGTTGTATCTAGCACTGTCTTAAGCCTGCAAATAATGTGGAGCCCTATAATTTTAGTTTGCCTTTATCTTTCCTATTTAAGACAGAGAAGACTCATTTGTTACACCTTAGCTATAAATCAAGAAACCTGCAAATCACCATTATCATATCAATTCCCTTTCAAGTAACAAAATGACATTGGAAAGCTTGACAAATCTCTTCCCTGGTAGGATTGTTCCAAGAGCTACATATTGGTTTGAAAAACTGAAAATTTTCTGCTTAGCATACCTGTTGCTTTGATAATGTAAATACTTTATCTGAGATTCTAATTCCTTAGAAGACATAACTAGATTTATGGACCTCACATGAGCATGTGATGCTAAACTAGTAGTAACACCAGGGAACGTACAGATCATGGATTCTATTCAATCCACAACAAAGGGTGACAGCTTGTCAAAATGTTGCGGTGTGATATTGGACCACAGGGTAAAGCTGTAGATAGAACTAAAACAGTGAGACACAGTGTTCCCCTGCATCAGTTATAGCAAATCCAGATGAATAAAATACAGTACATCCATATATGTCAGAATCAAAAGAATAAAAACCAGTCTGTTAAAGACTAAGAACTGGAAGAAGTCTCCTGGTCCATCAAGTCCAGTCCCCAGAACTGACAGAATCCTTCGTACAAAAGAGTGCATGAGATGGTCTGGCCCAGCACATCTGAGTTCCAGGACCAACACATTTCAGTCAAACTCCAACCTCTAGTTGTTGTTAATGTCCAATATTTCAGAGGAAGGTGAGGAAGAACCCAGAAGCAAAATAATGCATTATTGGGGGTGGGGTGGATTTCCTGACCCCTGCAGTTGACCTGCAAAAGACCTCAAACATGGATTGCCAGATACCTCCTGCACAGAGATCGAGTTTCTTTGGTATCCCCATAATGGGGATACTACATACCTGAGACCATATATCACATGCTCTGATTATTGGTCAAGAACTCCTCTCTCCTATCATGCTGTATATTCCATAAACTTGTTAGTTTCTGTGTTGATGCAGTTCATTGACAGTTTCATTGTAAGTAATCAGCAGAGGAAAACAATCTGGATTTAGTCATCTCTAATATGAGGGCAATGGGAGTCCAAACAAGTAATTACATTAGTGGATCAAAATTGAAAATGATTATAACAATTCATTCTTAGATTTATTTAGATGTGTAGTTAATAGGAAAACAGCAGTAATATAATGTTGGCATAAATACTTTTTAGCTGGATCAGAAACCTGAATTCAGAACTTCAGGAAAGTTTGGGTCCAAAAAGCAATGGAAAAAAAAAAAAATCACAGAGTTTGACAAGTATTTCTCATTAGTTTAGAATATGAATTTCTATATTTAAATAAATCCTAATTTCTCTTTTTTAATATTTGCTCTGTTTTAGAGGAGGCAAGAGAACAGAAGTTGCTTATTAATAGTATTTCAGCTTAACATCATGTGGTACATGCTACCGGGCAGCCAACAGCCTGTTGCTTGGCTTTGCAGCTGCAGTGTTTTAGACATGCCAATATCTTGGCATGAAAGTGAAGGCTAAAGGCAACTTGGATTTCTTCTGATAAGAAAATGGGGAGTAGGGGTAGGGGGGCGCTAAACACAATGGAGAGCTAAGAGCTATTTAAGCAAAAGGACAATGCGGGCACAAAAATAAGTAAATATAAACAGACCATGAATTTTAGGCTGAAATTAAGGTTTGTAACCCTTCAAGGAATACATTTTGAAAGACAGCCTTTCAGTAGCATTTATATTCATACTGATCTAACTCATTTTAAGACAATCTAATAAATAAGACTGTATGGCATAGCTGTCCACAATAGAAGACTGACCTCAATAACCCAGGATGTTTTTTCTGGTCCCATGTTCCTTCTAACATTTTGGAAGGTTATTTATATCCGTCCTAGCTCGTGTACATGCAGGCATAAGTTAGCTGAACCTTCCTCTAAAAGTTCACATTACAGGGCTGGACACATCCTATATACTCATATCCTACCTGCCAAGGGTGCAGCTACCCTTTTGGTAGCAGGATTAGTACTGGGCAAATGTCAGAATTAGTTTCTTACTCTCAACTACTCTAGGAACTGGTTTGTGGCAGACTATGGAAGTATTTGTCTATCTTTCCTGGACCTCTGTGCAGAAGAGATTTTAACTTACCCTTATATCTAGCTTTTTTGACTCTATGCTCCAAACTTCTGTGGACAGGCTACAGATATGTTGGATAAGCTGTTCCTGTCTGCAGCTAAATTGTTTACGTAGTGGATGAACATTCATCAAGAGGTTGGATGGCATTCTGGAAAGTTTTTTTTTTCTTTTTGAAATGCAGGACTGAAAGGGTGGAAGACTGGACACATACTGAATGTAGCCACTGTTGCAGATTCAGTGTCGCAAAACCAGTGCCTTTGGCATTATAGGAGAAAA